AACCATTAGCGAATAAAATTTATTTTTCCAAGATTTCATTTAAATTGCAATTTTGGTGTGCGCTCAAGTTTAATTATCTAGTTCAAATCTCGCAACTGAATTTTTACCTATTTCTGATCGTCTGATCAACTCAGAATCTGGCAGATGACAGTTGACAATGCGTTATGGCGGCTCCAATGTGGCTGACCAGATTTGTGATTATGGTTCGATTCGATTCAAAATTGGTATGTGAGGGTTTTTGGGGTTGGAAATTTAGAATTCGTTGTCGGAATTCGTGAAATCAAAATAGCCGACGAGTTTTGTTATTATGGACTGATCCTATTAAAAATAGAATAAAAAATATTGATGAAAACAAGCTTTCATTACTTTAACTATTGAAATAAAAAATTAAAGATGAAATAAGGTGAAAAAAGACAAGCCTTTTTTCAAATGCTCTGAAAATGACGAGAAAAATGCTTTTGATATCTCACGTAAGTTATTCTATGAGTAAGGTATTCGATAGCTTACATATCTGAAGAAATCTTCTTCCACTTCCTGGTGCATCTGGATAGAAACATTATTGTCACTGATTTTTTTACCTTATTTCATTACATTTCAGTTCAACATAACCCCAACGAAATGAAACGTAGAATTTAACCCTGAGTTAGAGAGCGTTAGAGAGCACAGCAGGAATATGACAGAGATGATTAAGTTTTCTATAAGATTCAAGCTCTATGACGATGAAATAGCGAGTGAAATCAATAGTGAGTGATCCGCAACATTACTTCAGCGTTGTAAGAATTCTCTAATGACGTGATGCTCAATCATCATTTCACTCCTCAAAGTGTCCTCCATTCATTTTTATGCTTTGATACAGTCTTTGTTCACGACATAATTCCATAATTTCAGTCGTTTGACATGAAATTATGAAATTTCAGGGCTATTTACATAAAAATGGTATGCTCTCGTTGAATGTCGATAAAATGAACCATTTCCGAATAAAATTGATTTTCACATTTCAATTCTCCGATGAGAAGTAAAAATATGGGAACAGAGAATACAAATAGAACCACTAGATTATCAGTTGACATTTTATTGTCAGTTTTGAGAATTGTCAAAATCAGTTGGAATTTCGTTAGCATTGTTTTCAAATCGTCAAACATGCCAAACTATACATTTTCTGAGTACGTAGATATGAGGGAAGGCTTAACCGCATATTATTTTCTCTTGAAAAAAGACTGCGTCAGTGCATAGAAGTAAATGGAGGACACTTTGAGGAGTGAAATGATAATTAAGCATCAAGTCATTAGAGAATTCTTATTACGCTGAAGAAATGTTGCGGATCTCTCACTATTTCATCGTGATACAACTTGCCTCTCTCCAGAATCTTACTAATCGAAAACTTCATCATCCCTCTCTTACATTCCTGCTATGCTCTCTAACTCAGTGTTAAATCCTACGTTCCATTTCGTTGGAGTTATGTTGTATGAAAATGTAATAAAATAAGGTAGAAAAAAAATCAGTGATAATAATGCTTCCATTCAAATGCTCCAGGAAGTGGAAGAAGATATCTAGAAGCATTTTTTTCTCATTTTTAGAGCATTCACCTTATTTCATCTTCGATTTTGTATTTCAATAGTTGAATTAATAAAAGCTTGTTTTTTACAATATTTTTTATTTTATTTTCAATAGGATCATCCATAATCACGAAAATCGTCGTCTATTTTTAATTCATGAATTCCGACAACGAATTCAAAATTTCCAACCCCAAAAACCCTTACAAACCAATTTTGAATCGGATCGGACCATAATCACTAATCTGGTCAGCCACATTGGAGCCGCCATATTTTTTTCTATCAAAAAGTCCATAACGCGTTATCAACTGTCATCTGCCAGATTCCAAGTTGATCAGACGATTAGAAGTAGGTAAAAATTCAGTTGCAAGATTTGAACTAGATAATTAAACGTGAGTGCACACCAAAATTGCAATTTAAATGAAATCTTGGAAAAATAAATTTTATTCGCTAATGGTTCATTTTATCGAGATTCAACAAGAGCTCCTTTTCTATGTTAATAGCCCTGAGATTTCATAATTTCATGTAAAAAAACTGAAATTGTGATGAACAAAAAAGTTGGGGTTATTTTTACCCCCTACCTCCTTATTTTGACACACCCCTGTATTTAATTTTGAGGTGATTTTAACTTCATTCGAACCGGCACTGAATAGTAAGTGGATGGACAAAATTTCAGATTTTCATTACACAAGGTGTTGGAGATACTAATTCAAAATCATTCACTGAGGCCCCCCTTTGAGGGGCTGTATCTTTCTTGGGGGTCACTTCAGAAAAAAATGTTACGGAGGTTTTCGTAACTATTTCACCCACTCTATATGCTCCCAAAGTTTGACCACCTATTTTAGAAACACCTTGTATAAATATATATCCATTTTTGTATGTTCGTGATTTGTCTGAGAATGTTCCTTTTCAACACTTTCATACCCAATCACAATCAGGGGGTTCAAACTTGAACGATGGAAACTTGTGACTTTTATTGACTTCTAATCGCAGATTCGTGATAGAGTCTCAATTCAGAATTTCTTTCCACGCCCTGTATGATGAATGTTAATTTATCATACACCCAAAAGGCACAAAAAGTGTTATAAATCGTATACGAGCTCAAAGAACATTGCCTCGTACAAGTCAAAAAATAACAAACTGACAGCTGATTCTCCAGCAGATTTTTGTAGAGCAGATATTTTTCAAAAACGTCCCTTGTGGACACCTTTTGATTCACAAAACGGTTTGATCGCTACTAGAGTCCCTCATTCTGCAAATGCACCACGTGATATTACGCTATCTCATGTTATTATCAAGTATTTCGCCCTTCTCTATGATGATCAGTTTATTTTCCTCAGGTTGTACTTTTCTTTCTGATTTGTCAAAGTAATTTTTTTTAAGGGAATGAAAGTCATTAGGTATTGCAAGCTTCTGATTATACGGCAGTTTTCGCAGAAAACACAGGGTTATACTTCGTGATATTGTACTTATTTTTTCTTGCATATTATGAGTCATAACTTGGCTTAGTTTTTGATTCTGTGATTGCTCCTGCCAAATACGCACTTTTGTGAATCAAAAGGTGTCCGCAAGGGACGTTTTTGAAAAATATCTGCTCTACAAAAATCTGCTGAAAAATCAGCTGTCAGTTTGTTATTTTTTGACTTGTACGAGGCAATGTTCTTTGAGCTCGTATACGATTTATAACAGTTTTTGTGCCATTTTAAAAAACTTTGATTTTCTAGATCATCAAACTTTGAGAATATATGCCGCATATATTTGTCATCATGACAATTTGTCATACAGCTGTGTTTAAGATAAAACGAATTTACTTTCAATATACATATGGAATGTGGCTAAGACATATACATTTTAAATATTCTATTAATTTTTTTGAACACATCTGTATTTTTTTTTCTTTGAGATTCGTAAATTCTAAAGCACCTTATCGCAGTATGCACATATTGATCCTTATGTAAAATATTGTTCTCTGTTTGTTGACGAAAATTGATGGAAAAATCTTAGCAAAGTAATTATTTCAGACACACTTAATACAATACACATAAAACTATGAATGTTAATAATACATAAATAAAATATGTAAAAAAAAGTGTTTGACACAAAAAATATATTAAATATAAAAATAAAATCAACCATTCAATGAAAGTTTCTTTTTGATTTTTCATGGGAGATAACCAGCTTTCCTCCTTCCAAACAAATAAGACACACATTTTGAATAAAAACGTCTTGTCCATTGACAGTTTTACGAAAAGAAGCAAGTCTTAGGTAATTCGATTTTCGACTCTAGTTCACTGTCAGAGCTGCTGCTGATCCATTTCTAGAGGATGCAAAAAAATACTAACTGTACCTAATACTCACTAAGTAAGTTCTACATATTGTTAACTTAGCAATAAGTTATTATTCGCTTTTAATAATATGATTTATAGACAAGAACTTAATCACTCATCACTAGTAATCTCAGTGGAATCAGCGCTACCAGAACAATGCATTCGAATTTACAACAAAACAGTGAATTCACGGTAAAATCGACCGTATCAACATCGCCCTCAGTAGAGTGGATTTTCGGTGGACATAGGCATAGCAATCTCGCCCTTCACCGCACCTCTGCGCTTGCCTCTGTTCTTCGCGACATGCCGTTCGATTTATTCAATTTTCTCGTGAACCAATTATCCAATCAAAATTTAAAAAAAACCAACATGCTCTCTGATGTTTGGTCTTTAACGTTTATAGAAAGCTTTTTTTTGCTAGGCCCAATACTTTTCGAGGTAGAGCGAGTTAAATGATTTTAAAAATATGGGTGTTCAGGGCAAGCGGTTTTGTGTGAAGGCGCTCCATATACAACAATGCTGCGACGTATTTTTATAAATTAAAAAAAAATATTTCTGATATCCGGATGGGTATGGAAATTTGAGGAATGAATTATCTCAAATCTTAGATCTGAAAACCGATGAAAAAAAAAATTGGCTTTTTTTTTTAAAAAGGCTCCCCCCACTCCCCTCCAACTACGATTTTTGGACGACCAAGTGATTTTGCATTGCAAAGGTCTTAGGAATGATAAAAAATGGGTTTTACATTTTAGCAACAAAGTGCCCACGGGATAGCACGATAGGATCCCGTTTAAACTCTACTAGTATAAGCCAGGCCATTTATTTTTTACTTGTGATGGTTCATTATCTGATATTAAGTTCTCTTGATATTTATGAGGTGCAAAATGATATCATCGGACCCAAAATAAGGTATCTGTGATGACATTATTTCAACGAAAATGTAATAGTCTACCCTACTAAACAAAAAATTGAAAGTTACCAGACTGCAGCCATGATGTATTTCTCTATTTAGTTGAATTGCACTAATTGCACTTTTAGTGGTATCAAAGAGAATTATAATGATTTTAGAACACATTTTTCATGAAAAATCGGCAATAATCAGTTGTATTATTTCTTTCAGTTCAAAGAATTGCAAGAACAAAAGAAGAAGAAAGAAGCTGCAGCACAAAAGGTGGATCATTCAACAGCATATGATGATAGGCAGACACCAGCTGACAGTTTGACAAGTTCAGCACATAGTTCAGTTAATAATGACGCACCTCTAGAAACCATTACCGATGATAAAAATAATTCTGCACCACTGCCAAATTATTTTGCCGATACAAATTATGGAGATAATTTCATGTTTTTTGATAATATTTCAAAGCCAGAAAAAAAAGCAGATGAATACATTCCTAATAATGATTCAAAATCTTACAAAACTATTCAAGATTCCACCTCCTATGGAAATATGCTATCCAACATAGTAGACAATCCAAAAGATTCCGAGAACCAGACAACCCAATACAGTGGTAATTACTCCTTATTTCCTGAAGAGACTCCACACAATTATGTTTATGAAACACAAAATATTTTACATCCCAATCAAGAGAGTCCTGATAACGGTGATACTTATCTACTACATGGTTCAAATACAAAGCAAGACCATTCTCTTCAGTATTCATCCAGTAACGATGCTCCAAGTCTGGATTACCCTGAAATTAAGCAAAATGAAATATTTGAAATACACAATAATTCCCAGAACCATAATATATTTTCTTCAGAAACTGGTCGGGATATTATTGATTGTTTTCAAAGTGACAGCAAGGATAGTCTAAATGAAGTAAACAATTCCGCTATCAAAAATGAAATTGTAGATAATTCTAATAATGCTCAAGAAGAAATTAGACATTCGAGCATTGAAAGTTTGAAGCAGTTTTCCAATCATATGGCAGAAATGGTAGAACCTGAGTATACCATAACCAGTTCAATTACAGACCTAGAAAAACGTAACTTGGAATTAGCTGCTTTATTAGAGCAAACAAATTTGGGATACGAGCAACAAGAAGCGCTAATAGAAGAACTCAAATTCAAAATCAACACATTGGAAACGGATGGAAAAAGAACACAGGAAAGTTTGATTTTACAATCAGCTACTGAGACTAGTAGGTTAAGAGAAGAATTGCAATGTCATATCCAAACCGTGGGATTACTAGTGGCTGAGAAAACAGAGTTATCAGCAAGCTTAAGTCAACTAGAAATAACAGCAAAGCAGAAGGTTTCAGAATGCGAGGAGCTACAAGCTCGTTTGAAAGCTTCCAGGTCAAGAGCATTTGAATTAGAGCAAGAATTGCAAATTTTGAGAAACGATAAAAGCAAGAAGGAAACCGTAGGAATAGAGCAAGGCACAATTATTGAAAAACTGAGACAGGAAAGCACGAATCTTCGGGAGCAAAAAGAAGAACTTCTCCAAGATCTATTAGAAGCAAGAGAAAAACTGAAAAATAGCTCATTAGATAATCTGAACCTTAAAAAACAAATCCAGGAGGTTTCTAGCAAGCTTTCACTTGCTGAAATAAAAATTCAACAAATATCCAATGGCGAGCAACAGCAATTTGAAAGTCAAGTTGAAAAGTTAACTTTCGAAAAATTCGAGTTGATGAAACAACTTTCTAGCCTGAATTTGATGTTGAAAACTATGACGAATGAACGAGACGAATCGACTTCGCATTACCAACAGTATACGCAAGAATTGAATGCTCAAATGACCAACCTCACTAACCAAATTCAGCGTTTACAACAAGAAAATGAGCACCTTTCAATGCAAGAACAAAACCGTATAAAACATATTGGTGAACTCGAAAGACAGCTACAAAGTTTACAAAATGATCAGGTTGCTTTCACAAGAAATGGGACTAACAAGGATATTAACCTGAAAAATGAGCTTGAGTCTATCAGAGAACTTAGTGTTCAACTACAGGTAAGTGTATTTTACCAAAAGGGTATTCAATATTTAATTTCTGAAATGTTAGTGGCATGACTTCAAATTAAGAACTTTAAAACTTGAAAATTGAAATGATTAGTATTGTCTATGAAAGACCACTATATCATAACTTGTTAGTGCTTAATTAACCTTTTTTTTCAAAAGCATTTGGAAGTTTGAAAAATATGCAATTTGCTTATCTCCAGTACTAAGCTTCAGTATACAAGGTGTTTCTTAATATGTGGGACGCACTTCAATAGGTTATAGAGCGTCCCAAGAAAATGAAAATATAGTTTCCATAAACAAAGGTCGCAAATATTTATAGAATTTTCTTATGTCCAGCCTGTATGGTTCATCTTGGTAGCAACATTTAGTCTGTTATGTGTCTGGTATAGGGCCGCAATTCCAAAATAACATCACAGGTACTTGTCATTCACCAGAATATCAAGAATTTTTATCGAGCGATTATCTAGCAATGAGGTCGAGCGATTATCTAGCAATGAGGACTAACATTTTCAGTCTCACCAGTTGGCCCCTTCTAAAACGTGATGTCAAAGTCAAAAATACCAAAACTTTGCTGGATAGTCCTAAAGGCCAGTGGCCTGTTTTATCGAAAATATTCGAAAAAAAGTTATGTTGAATATTTGAACAAATAGAAAACCGTAAGTTATGGGAAGACTTGAACAGACTTACGTTTTATAATCCCAATGTGGAACTTGACAACCAATTCTTACATTGACGGAGAAGAAGATATCGTAGGAAGAGGCCAAATGACACGAAAAGTAGAAGTATATTTATCAGTTCTACCAACTCTGACCTCATGACTCAGTCGTGCAATGTGATGGACAATAAATAATGTTCGTCCTCATTCAATGAAAATTATTTTTTATTTTCAACTTAACACCCAGTATCTCGCAAACAAAGCCTTCTACGACACGACTTATGTTTATGGAAGCATTTTTGTATTTTTTGAGATCCCCTATTACCTCTTGAAGTGTTTCTGACATATAATGAAACACCCTGTATAATGAGGAAGTTCTGTTCCTCGTTCCGTCATTGGAAAATTAGAAGAGTAAATATAGAGATTAAATCGCAAATTAACCTGAGTCTGAGCGTTACCATCGAGATTAGAAGGCCAGCAGACTCGGACGTAAACAGCTCGTGACGTCACCTAAGAGAGGCCAGTGTTATCGCTTGTCGACTTACGCGTCAGTTCGTGTTAATTCATGTTCGGTGATTCACATATGTCTTTCAAGCGGTCCCGAATTCTTTTGTTTATTCATCAAAATAATTGGCGGAAAAATTACTGTTTTGTGAAATATTTTATGTTGTGATATGCGAAATAACAGTGTTGTGTTTCCTTTTGTCGGGGTAATTATGTGGGTGATCCAAAAGTTCAAGCTTTTAGTTTCCCGTTGGACGAGGAACTATCGAAAAAGTGGGTATTTGCAATTCACCACTAGGATTTTATTCCATTTGAGTACAGTAGAGTATGTGAATTACATTTTACTAAAGATGCTATTATTACTTCATCTACTGCAACCGATTCGAAAACTGGCAAAACTGTAACGATAGATCTGAACATTCCTAGGCTCAAACGATATGTATTCTTACTCGATTTCCTAACTGTCCATCTTATTTATCGAAAGATATAAAATTACGCTCAAGTCGTGATGAAAAACTTGAGATACTAGAGACTAAAAATTTAACAAAAGCACTTACCAAAAGTAAAACTGAATTCGAAAATTATTGCCAAAAATCATTTTGCTAATTTCAAGAATTTCTAGTTGTATTAGAGTCTTTTCAGCTGCCCGAAAAGTGGTTCAAAATTATCGATTTGCAAAAAGTCACATTCAAATTGTCTTATTCTCGAATCTCTATGAAAACACCTTTTATCTTTAATAATATCAATCAAATCAAAGAGTTACTAATTGAAATAGATAAAAACGAGATCAATGATTCGGGGAAATGTCTTGATAATCAGAAAAAGATGGTTTTGAAACATATTTCGAATATATTGGACTCTTTGGTTTCTGACTCGGTTTGTATCAAATCTCGATGGTAACGGTCTGAGTCATAGTAAAAATGCTCGAAGAACATTTGTTGTCTGTATTTTGAATTTTAATTGAGAAATTGGAGGCAGCCCATGAAAGATGATTCTCTCAAATTTTGATGGAATAAAAATTTTTGTTGTACCCACCCAAATATGAGGGTTCATTATACAGGGTCTCTATAAAAATCCAAGAATTTAAATGGCTCTTGAAATATTGTTTCTATTTGCCGCTCTTCCTATTTTATTAACAACTTTGTCCTGAGCAAACTGGTTATAGTTAAATATTTATAAGAGTGAAAAGTAGCCAGTCAAAAAGAGTTCAATTGTCATTATGGGTTCATTGAAATAGCTACATGGAATCATTCATTTGTCACTTTCCAACCTCGCCCCTTTGAAGAACGCGACTTACTAGCACACTAATTTATCAATTTATCTGGATCTCAATTTGCATCATTTAATTGATTAGCATAATATAATCAATTTATTTTATATAAATGGCTGTTGAAATATTGTTTCTATTTGCCGCTCTATTCCTATTTTATTTACAACATTGTTCTGACCAAACTGGTTATAGTTAAATATCGATAAATGAAAAGTGGCCAGTCAAAAAGAGTTTAATTGCAGAAACCCAGTACTTATTGATTATTATGGGTTCATTGAAATAGCTACCTGGAATCAATCATTTGTCACTTTCCAACCTCGCCCTTTTGAAGAACGCGGCTTATTAGCAAACTGATTTATCAATTTATCTGGATCTCAATTCGCATCATTTAATTGATTAACTTAGAGGAGTAAACCTCGATAAAAAATCCCCAATGCTAAGGTGTAAGTTATCGTGCCCATGGCATGTATGGCACTAGGGTGATAGTGTCTATAACGATACTCTTGGGACACCAGGCGATGTCTCATTATAATTTAGCCTTGTCTCCACATGCGGGGCTCTGTGGGGATGTACTTTTAATTCCCTAGCTACTCGTGGGAATCAATATGAGACCAAATAATCGTTATAATCAACCAAACCAACCTTACCGTGTATCTCCTTGGGCTAATCAAAACACCGGATACCAATATTCATCTAGCCCTTGGATGCCTTACCAGAATAATAGCTTTAATAGGCATGACCAGAGACCTGGGTCTCGAAGTTATCCAAGGCCACAAGGAAGCAGGCCTTACAATAAACCAACTTTCTCTAGGAATGATAAAAACAAGCCAGTGACACAAAAACGTAAACTTGAAGATGGCAAATCTGAAAGCACTACCTCAGCTTCTAAAAAGAAACGCGAAACTTCACCCGAAGTTAGTGTTGGAATTCAGGTGGTAATTGTACCGTCTGAATTTCCAACGAAAGTAATGACAAAAGAACAACTAGCTACCTTGCATGCTGCTATCTTGAAGGCAATTGATGATGTAGAAGAAGGTTCCGTTTATCCACAATTCGTAAATGCCAAGAAAACACGAGGTACCCTTACAGTAACTTGTAGTAACCAAGAAACTGTGGATTGGTTACGAAACATAATAGAAATTTTAACTCCTTGGGAAAACTCTCAGTTGAAAGTAGTAGCGATAGAAGAAATGCCAGTTTATGTTAATGTTGAAATCAAAATTCCTGGGTCCACAGAAGAACCTGATAAACTACTAGAAAGGTTGGAACGTCAAAATCAAGGACTTCTAACAAATACTTGGCATGTGATCAGCCAAAAAGTTGATGATAAACTTCAAATTTTGACGGTTTCTGTAGATGAAAAAGTCATTGAAGCTCTCAAGAGACTTGATTTCAAACTGTTTCTCAATTTCTCTAGAATAGAGGTCAAGCAGTTGGAAAAACTGAAGCCAAGAGTTATTGAACCATCAAAGACCGAAGCAACAAAGGAATCTGTCACGGATGATCAATCAAAACCTAAAGTAGAAGAAACTGCCGATAATAATGTTTCCAATGAAACCAATGTTCAGTCTGACCAACCTGAAAGTCAGGATCAAGATAAAAAAGAATAACTCAAACAGATGAGTATTCGACATCTGTATAATTCAATTTTAAATTTGTAAGATCCAGAAATTGATGTTACCATTTCGAACAGCTCAATTCAAAAAATAATTTCAGTAAATTTTTGTTCTAAAAAAAAAATTTGTTCTAAAATTTGTTCTATCCGTCATCAATATATCGAAGACTAGAACATATGGCATGATGATACACTACACTGTTTTACCACTAACTAGTTAGAGGTAAAAAAGTGTAACGTAGTAAATGTCAAATTAATAATTTCGTCAGCTCGAATCGTATCACTGGTACGATTTTTAACTAGAGGAGTAAACCTCGATAAAAAATCCCCAATGCTAAAGTGTAAGTCAACGTGCTGAAGGCATGTATAGCACTAGGGTTATAGTGTTTTTAACGGTACTCTTGGGATTTTGGGCGACATCCCATTGAAATTTAGCCTTACTTCCACATGCGGGGCTCTGTGGAAGCGTACTATGATTTCCCTAGCTACTCGTGGGAATAAATATGAAACCAACTAATCGTTATAATCAACCAAACAGACCTTTTCGTGGTGGTAGAGGAGGTTACCAAAACAATCCTAACCATCAAACAAACAACCGCAAACGACCTGGAGATGAGACATACGCATCGGGGCCAAGTAAATTACCAAAAAAAAATTTCAGGGGTAATTATCGGGGCAGGGGTAAACCCTTTAACAAAACTAAAAATTCAAACAGCCAAAAGGACAAACCTGAAGAAAAGCCAGTTGTTGGTATACCAACCATCGTTGTACCTCAGAAATATCCGATAGAAACCTTGACTACTGAGCAACTTGACATCTTACAAAAGGAACTATTAAATTCTCTTGATAACATTGAGGTTGGAGCTTTCCGGCCACAATTTTTAGAAAGCATCAAGGAAAAAGGAACACTCTTGATCAATTGTAACAACCAGGAAAGTGTAGAATGG